GTTCTTTGCTAAGGCATCCCACGTTCGAGGGACATGACTGTTTAAATCCGAGGCAACAAGTGAGGGTCACCCTATAGGTGCACATGTGCGAAGTGTTTTTAATTTCAGTTATTTGTCTTGGGATTGTGTTTTCTAACATTTCTTTTTACGTCTTGCCATGCACGCCTATTAAGCTAATATATATATATATATATATATATATATATATATATATATATATATATATATATATATATATATATATATATATATATATATATATATATATATATATATATATATATATATATATATATATATATATATATATATATATATATATATATATATATATATATATATATATATATATATATATATATATATATATATATATATATATATATATATATATATATATATATATATATATATATATATATACATAATTGCGGAAAGTAAAAATGCGAGAAATTGAATTTATGTTATTACAATGTCTCGGGCATGGGGAATTACAAACTATAAAATGGGAAAAAGGTAAAGAAACCATAATTTAAACTATTACATCCCTTTGAACAATTACATAATTATATTAATGCAAAAAATAAACAAACGCGCGAAGATGGTGAAAAGGGGAAGATATTTAAGACCTAAAAAATTCTAAGTGTTTAGAAAATATTTTTGGTATTTTTTGTTTAGAAAAATATTTGAAGTGTAAAATAAAAAATAAAACCTAATTCTAATTAATTCATTAGTTAATTATTTAAAATAAAACAAAGTGTGATTAAATTAATTAATTTCTATTTATAAAAATTAAATTAATTTATTAAAACCTAAATCTTATTTTTTTAATGATTTTATGATTTTTTATGATTAAATAAAAATGATTAAAAAGAAATAATTAATTAAAAAAATGAAATTAAATGGGCCTGATGTGCAAAAGGAATTTTGGGGGTGTGAGAAGCAGAAATCCTTAGGTCCAAATCAGAGAGTCCAGGTTGCTGCGCTGGATCCAGTGAAGGTGGCTCCCTGAGGTATATTGTGGGGTGTGCGTTTGATGCGTTGGATCTGACTTTGATGAGATCTAATGGTCAAAGGATGGAGATGCACGGTGCGTGCGTTGGACTTGTTCATATTGAATCTGTAAAGAATATGGAAAAATAAAATGCCAGAAGCAGGGATCGAACCCTTACCCTGGCGCACCAAAGCCTTAGTCACACACTCGCTTGCCGCTGGGGCAGTCATTTCATCTGGTACCTTAATCAAACAAAAATGATAAAAACAATGAATGAAGCATATGGTCGGAGAAGTTCCAGAGCCCTAGCTCCGGTCGTATTCTTCGGCAAGTCAAAATCCAAAACTTGTGAAAACCTGTAAAAATAAAGATCAAAAGGGACTATACCCCATAAATCAAACCCCCTGATTCCAAATCCAACCTTATTTTTGGCTAAACCCATGGATCGTGTGTTTCAAACCAGGTTACACCGATTGGAGGCAAACATGGTGTTTGTTAAACCTGCGTGCATAGGACCATTTTGGTGGCCTAAACCTATTCAGACACGACTCAAAATCACATTAGAAATATCAAATTGATTTAAAACATGGCAAGATTAAATACATGATTTTCAAAAAATGTGAAAACTGGCAAGGCAATGATATGCAGTTTCATGCATGCAGGATCATCATGATTGATCCAAAACTACATTTTGATATTCCAGGAGATGAATGGAATTGGAATTATGGAAAGAGAAGGCCTCTAGAGGTTGTTTTGAAGCTCAAGGGTTTTGAGAAAATTTAGAGAGTTTTTGCTAGTTTGTTGAGGCGGGTATGTGTGTCCATTTGGTATGACTTGCTTGCCTTTATATAGAGGAGGGAAATGACTTCAATAATATGGCAAGAATCAAGTCATCAAGCCATGTTTAAAACAAAAATCAAACATTTTGAAAACTTGCCATTTTGAGTTTGGTCTTTCCATTTTGAGCCTTACATGGTTTTGGAATGTTTTGAGACAGGCTAGCATGAATTATTTGGGCCTCAAAGAGTTCAGTCCATAAGCCTTACATGCCTTGTCCATTAAGTTTGTATTTTATTTGATTTAATTTTGATTTTAAATAAATAAAAATAAAAAATAAAATAAAAAATAAAAAATTGAAATAATGCATGAATGTACTTAAGGGTCTTTAAATATGTCATGAACACATTTGAGTTCTAAAACTTTAGGCTAAATAACCCAAAATCACAAATTTGCTCAATTGAGATTTCATGCATTCCTAAAAAATTGTCCAACTTGTGTAACTCATAAATTTCTCAACTTTCATCTTTTGAAGGTTATTTTTAAGTTTTTGAAAAGATCAAGATGTCCTCTACAATTTATCTTTTTATCATTTTTGCATTTGGAGACTTTATCTTGATGTAAGTTGCCTTGACAAAAAGTGTCTTTTGTTGACTTTTGAAAATGACCTATAACGTATTAGCTCATATCTTTCAAATAAATCATTTTTTAGACTTGAGCATAAGTACAAAGTTGTAGAGAATTGAATTTCCTTCAAACTGGGCTTTGGTTAGGGAAAATTTGATGAAGCGTGTGAAAGGTATGCTTATTCAAAGTTCAGTTGACTTCTCCTAAGGAAACCCTAATTTGACCATTCTTAACTTTTGATGATTTGAGGGCTTTCCTTGAGGAATCATGATCAACCCTTGATCAAATGATGAATATAACTTTAAAATGTTAATGTTGACAAAAAATCTTGAAGTTTGACTGTATGCTGACCATAGTTGACTTTTTACCCAATATAGTTGATTTTCAATCATCTGAGCCATTGATTGAGCAAACTTGTGATGTAGGACTTGAAACTTGACATGAAACTTGTTGAATACCTATGGAGAAACATGGAAATCATTTGAGACCTTTGCAAACCAAATTTCCTGGAGGAACTCAAAACCCTAGTTGTAGACCCCTTGGCTTAGGAGGAGCATCTTGACTGGTCAACCCTTGAGATTCTTGAGTATTTGAGAAAACTCTTGAAAGAAAGGTTTAAAGAAAATGAGAGGGCAAATTTTGGGATACAACAATAGCATTCTTGGTTATGCAATTCAACATGAAAGCCTTGCACTTTGGTTACTTCTATGAAAAAGCTTTGGTTGATTATGTGAATGGTGGTATATAAACTCTTGCTCTTGTATTTCTTTGATTGAGGATAAACAAAGATTCAAGTTGGGGAGAGTTTAATGAATGTTTGATTCATGGAAAATATCACATCATTTCATTGCATTTATATTACTTAAGAGACAAGATTCTAACATAAAAACCTTAACTAATGAACAAAGGGAGTATTGTGCAAGCTACCTTTGATTTTGTTGTCTTTTGTGCAAGTTTTAACCCTTAAAGAAAAACCAGAAAACAGGCATTTCGCTAAGCAAAAGTTGCAGTGAACAATTCTCTTAGTGAGCTTCCATCAAACGAAGACAGAAGTAAATCAGCTAATTTCACCAACAACGAGGAGCAACAAAGTAGGTTCGCTTAGTGAATCGGGCCTTCGCTTAGCGAAACAAGGCGATCAAAGAAAGATAATTTGAAAATACTTCAGGCTGAAGAAAGCAGCTTCTCTAAGCGAACATCACTTTGCTTAGCAAACTTTGGCGGTTATCTGAATGACAAATTGATTTGAAAACTTAGCAAAGAAGCAAGACTCTGCTTAGCGAAACATAGTTTGCTTAGCGAACTCAGGCGGCCATAACTGCTATAAATAGGACAGAAACTCAGCTCAACATATTCATTCTAGTTTTTATTATTGTAATACCTTAGAATAATACTCTGTAATATCAATAGAATAGGAATAGAGGAGGTTGTAAGAAGAAGAGTTGGATTCGCATCAAGAGTCCGGAAATCATCATTGATGTTGGTTCAACTAAATTCCTCCATTGTGCTTCAAACTACCATGAGTAGCTAAATCCCTCTCTTGTTGGGATTGGTCGTAGTTCGTCGAAACAATATGTATTTTCTTTAATCATGGCATTATATGCAATTTATGTTTGAATCGTTATCATTGTTATCTTTGCTTTACCGTTTATTTCATATATTGAATTGATATTGACAAATACGGTTCTAATCTCAATCCAAGATAACAACTATTAAACTCTAAATTCTAGACATAGATTCAGGTTTAATATTCATTAAAAGTATCGAATCATAATGCTACCATATTATTTAATAGGCTGAGAAATCATCGATTAAACCATAAGGTAAGAAATCTATCAAAGTTTAGACATGAACTTTATTTGTGTGCGATACATGATGATAATGAAACATGCTTAAATTGTGTATAACTGAATTTTGAAGTGCATATTGAATCGACAAATGAAAACCAATTTCCAACAAGTCCATTCCTCTAAATCTTACCTTTCGTTATTTTACGCATTTTACTTTTCGTAACTCATCAATCAAACTTCTTGTAAACGTATGCTTAGAATAATAGAAATTGTTGAATAGTTTTGATATCGCTCCAATCCTTGCGGATACAATAAAACAATACTTTCATTTGATTTTACTCAAAACCAACCATCCAAAACTTTATCGCTATCAAGATCCATACTTCATATCCCACTGCCTCTCAATATATAATCTTGTAACACCCAAAATTGAGTCTTAAAAATCATAAACGCGTATTAGACAACCTCTATTACTGAGTACAAATTCAATCCTAGCTCTATTGAATGAATTCACAAAAAAATTATTCTCTAATATTAATATATGAAATTAGAGTAATGTTATAAAATATTAGATTTTTATTAGATGTCAATTTAAAATATATATATATATATATATATATATATATATATATATATATATATATATATATATATATATATATATATATATATATATATATATATATATATATATATATATATATATATATATTTTTTTTTTTTTTCTTCTTTTAAATCTTTATAATAAAATAATATTTTTTTTATAAATAACAAAAAATCCTCATACTATTTTTTTTTTAACATGAGGTGGCATGGACCGCGTTTTAGCAACTCCACCGACCAACCGGGTTTATGCGCGTAAAAAGAAACCGGTCCGGTTCGAGATACAACTACAAGCGTGTATATATTAACGTACCCACATCACCTCTGTTTCTCTCGATTGTATTTTGATTTTTCAGATTAGAAGCAGCAAGCCCTAACTCCAACCCTAACCCTAATTTTACGGCACTTTCGTTCCTCTTCCTCGGTTTCTTTCTTCGGGTATGACTTCTGGCATCTTTTCAATTATCTCTTATCGATCTATTCTGTTTTATCAATTTCAATTTTTCAGTGATCGTTCTTGTTTTAATTTTACTAAGCTAAGAATGATTGGGAGTGGGGTTGTGATTTTTGTTGTTTGATTTGATGCAGATTCTTTTTGGAATCGGTAAAAATTCAGTGGATTTGGGGTGGATTGCTGCTAAGGGTTTTCCATCTTTCACATATAAGGTAAGAAAGGAAGGAGAGTGCGTCGTTTTTTGAATGATTTGTTTGCTATATCATGTTCAATTCTCTATGTGGAACTATGTTTCTCAGTTGTATGCTACTTTTCGTTTCTCATTGTGTCAGTAATGAATTTGAAATTCCAAAAGTCTTGTTTTAGGGTATTTAAAAGTTAGTTATTTCATGAGATGTGAACTTAGTTTAGGAAAATTTAGGTGGTAAATGCGGGTTCTACTCTTTAATTAGGATAATAAGGAGAATCATAAGGATTGTAGTGATATTAAATTTCCGTGGCGGATTTTAGGTTTTGTCATAGCCAAATATGTGAAAGATTGTCGAACTATAGCTCTCCACTGAGAGATTGAATGTTTTGTTTTGTCCATTGATGCTACTGTTGTCTGTTGGTCAAAATATGTGTAAAAACTTGGCTGAATGTTTTGTTTGTTAAAAGTAATAGGTTGCCATTATTCTTGCACGGATAGTATCAATCATTCATCAGTTATCGTGTCTCTTTCTTCTAGTAGACGAGCCATTCGAGTGATTGATTTGTGCCATTATTCTTGTATGGATAATATCATTCATTCATCAGTTATTGAGTCCCTGTCTTTTAGTAGACTAACCCGATCTTGTTTAGTGAGAGCTGATTTCATTTTGGTAATAGATGTGTAGCATACATCCTGTGCCCTTATGCCCCAACCTTTTGTTTGAGACTAGTCATACCCGTTAAGCACCGTGTATGTTTTGTTTTTATTTAATTAACTAGAGAGTAGGAATTTGCATGATAGTCTATTTTTCTTTAACCTTTCATTGTTATTTTCTGCTAGATAGTTCTTTTTCTTTATTGAACTAACAAATATTAGATATATTTGCATATAATAACATGCAATAAGTGCTAAATATTAGTTTTTTGTGTGACTAGGAATTTGAGAAGTTGATTATAACGACTTGCTTTGATTGTAGACCTAACTTTGTTTTTTCTCTTCTGTGAGATGCACTTCCGGCCATCATTTTACCATAATGCAGTATTTGAGTTGGGTATTGATTCTATATGGACACCAAGAGGTTCATCCAGCTAGTTGAGGAGAAAAAGAAGAAAATTTTGGAGAAAAAGGAAGCTCCTTTGAAGTGGGAGCAGAAGCTGGAAGCTGCTTCCAGAGCAAAGGCTGATGCTGAAGCTAAAGAAAAGAAGCTGAAGGCTGCAAAACATAAGAAGAGATCGAGCTCTGATACTGAAAGTGATCATGACACTGATGATGAGAGTAAAAGGGCTAGTAAAAGATCTCATAGGAAGAACAAGAAGCATTCTCACATAAGTTCAAAGCGGAAGACAAAGAAGCGGTCTTCAGAGTCTAGCGATTTTAGTAGTGATGACTCTGTAAGTAGCTCTGAAGAGGAGAGGAGGAGAAAGAAGAGGCAAAGGAAGAAGATAAGAGACCAAGGTTCAAGATCAGATTCTAGTGGTTCTGATTCTTTTGCCGATGAAGCCAACAAGAGAAAAAGGCGGCACAAGCGGCGACATCCATCAAAATTTAGTGGTGATACTGACTTCTCTAGTGACGAAGGAGATTTTCCAGATCGGAAGAGAAGTCATGGAAAGCATTACAAACGTCGCCGCCACTTGGAATCTAGTGAATCTGATTTGTCTAGTGATGAAAGTGATGATGTTCACAGGAAGAAAAGCCACAGAAGGCACCATAAGCATCATAGGCATTCACATAATACAGAGGTGAGGTCATCTGATTCTGATTATCATGGGCATGGTGGAAAATACAGATCTCATGAGAAGCCTTCAGATGAAAATTCTGAAGAAGAAAGCAAAAGATCAGTGCATAAACGGTCTGGACATCATCACCATCACCACCACCACCATCATTTTGACAAACATGTACCCTGCTTGGATGATGAGAGAAATCACTCACTCCACCTCTCACCGAAAACCAATAGAAAGCACGAGTTGGAATTTGCTAAAACTGGAGCTTAGAGAAAGGACTGGTCATCATGAAGGTGTCTACATGCCTGAGAATATATTGCTGAGGAAATTGCTTGATTTATAATAATCTGTTCTGTTACATGTTTAAAAAAAGAACATGTTTTGTTGCAGTTTATCGTTGTTCTTCATGGGATTTGGTTGTGCCTATCCAGCACTTATTCCAAATTGAACAATTTTCATGTTGTGATGTCGTTAGTATTATTGATTATGAAAACTGATCTTGAACTATTATTGTCTGAGGCACTAATTTTATTTAATGGCTTATTAAAATATAAATTAATGATGTACTCTTGCTTTGTTTTATTTTTTTGGAGAAATAAATATTATTAATAAAAGGACTTGACCAAAGTATAAGGTGTACTTTCAGCCAGCTTAAAGTTGCTAGCCTGCATATTATGCAGGTCACCATAACAGTATCTGTCTGTCTGAATTACCAGTATAGAAAACACATGCTCAGCCAATAAAGGAAATAAAAAAGCATATAATCACAACATTTGCAACCCAATTAAACTACAAATTCTACCACCCAAACTTGCTGAGCTTATAGATTATCACGAGAACGACTTGAACAATTCGGCTATAGAAACAGAATCACAACTCTGATCGCTCACGCCTAACTCCTCTGCATACACCACTAGCCCAAAACACACATAAACTTGAGATACTGCTAGTTTCAAAATGACAGCAACTTAAGTTTGCTTATCTAAAATTTTTACGATAGGTTCAAGCACCAGTGTGAAATGTTATTAACTATACTATTTATTTAAATAAGCAGCCAATTCTAAGAATATAATTTCACTTCTTCTATCACCTTTTCCAAACCAATTTTCTTATTATGAAAATTCTTGTCATTTCTTGTCTTTATGCTCCAAACACATGCAAACCGCACTAGGATGACACACTTTTGACAATGTTCTGCAGCTGCCTTTCAAATTGATCATGATGTCACACTCAGTATAGAGAGTCAAACACATGCAAACACTTGACACTCAAGATGAGATACCGACTATTCCATCCCACACTCTCGGATGAGATTATTTACCAATACCCAGTACCCACAATCCTTCTTTCTTATTTTATTTTCCTAATAGTACAACATTTAAAGATCTTCAAATTTCTGATTCTCAACTCCTTCAATTGATCCACAAATCTTATTTCATTTTATCCAAATTATTTCTCTCCTTCTCATCTTATAAACATTGTTTAAGAGATATTCTAATTAAAAATAATATTAGCCAGAATTTTGAAGAAAATGAAAATAAACTAGTAGTTCATATAAGATTGATTTTATAACGACCACTCTACTACTAGTTAACAAATGCCCGTCCCTCCAGATAATATGAACCTCATTGCCTCAATCATATGTTGCCATGTACCTTTCTTCTTTGACTTTGCCCCCAATCACTAGAACAAAGTCATTAGTGTATTTACTATTAGTGTGTGACTATTATTTTAACAAAAAAATATATTTAAAAATAAATATTAATTTTACTTTTAAATATAAAAATAATAATAATATCTTTATTATATCTTTTAATTATTACTTGATACACAATTTTCAATACATTAATAAAATTAATTTAATAAAAACATCATGTCTTTAACATTATTATTGCATTCTTTAATACTATATGGAAAAAACCTTAAGCAAACATTCAAGACATTCACATTTCTTTTGTCAAACAGAACATTCTAGACACTGACACAGTAATTGTTAATTATAATTTAATAAATAATTATGTTGACTTTAGTTTCATTAATTAAGCCATCAATATTTAAATTATTAATGTGAGGAGCTAATTCAAAATATTTGTAAACAGAAAATAGTAAATAGACTAAATATCAGTAATTTACAGTTTCAGATATCACTGTCAGGAAATTCCAATTTTAAAGAGGAATTTGAGAAATCATTCAAAACCTTTGTGATAAAAAATGCAATGACAATGCGTGTTTGATAATATGCATAGATTCCTATAACAATAAAAATCGACAATGTTGAGATTTCAGCAAATAAACCACCTTTTCTTTTTTCATATGAGGTGGGTTTTTGTCGTATATTTGAACTGCAAAAGTAGTTTCTAACACATAGACTAAATTTCAAAATTGTTGTTTGTTCTACATTCCATGCTTAGATGCTCCATCCTCAGCAATGGCGGCAAACAAATAACTTATAACTGTAATTCAAATAATGATACAACAATGCCAAATTCCATTTTGGTCAGAAATTCTTCAGTATCTTCTCAGCTGATACTCCATCAGCAACAAGAATAGATGTAACTTCCTGCAACAATTAACATTGATATTGAAAGGCCTTGCATTGGAATTACAAAATAAAATGAAAGTAAAATCATAGTTGAAACTAATCGACGCTCTCTCTCTTTTTAATACTAGTTGACCCAAACTATTCAACGCATTGAATTGGGAGATGATGCCACGAAACAAAGATGACTTGTTCAACGGTAATATTTTGATCTTCCTAGTATTTGCAATGATGGGGTATATTCTCCCAATTGGAACCCTCTCAGTCTTTCCTGTCGCACGGCCCCTGCAAGAGCCACCTCAAGCGGCACTGCATTCTCTAGCTCCTTTATGGATGATGCCCTCATATCCTTCGCGGCTCATCCTCTCCAAAATGGCCTCACTATCCCAGTTCAACCAGGCTTTAGTGACAACAATACCATCATTTTGGATAAATTTACCCTTACTGTTGACATCAGGCCCAACAGGGAGTATGTGGACTACACCCGGGGAAGGGTGGGAAATTTTTAGAAGTTTATTTTATCATGTGGCCGTTGACATCAGAGATATAGGAGGAAGGGAAGGAGTGGTACTGTTTCTGTCAACAACTTGCAGATTAAAGGGGAAAGAGAATACAAAATGAAAGTGCTACGAGACTAAGGATAAAGGCCATCTTTCTTTTTGATCCCAATCATGATGGATCAATGAAGACTCAGATTTAAAACCTTATTAGCTTTGATGATTCTACTACCAGTGCAAAGGCAGTGTGTTCTGTAGTTCTTTTTAGGTAGTACCCTCAGTTGTTGGATGAAGGAAAAAAGAGAGGAGCTTGATGGTGTTTTTGTTGATTATGCATCTTATCTACCAAGAAAAGAGACATGCACTTTTAAATATGCAATTTTTCTTTTGCAATGTGCATCAACTGATTCTAATTCCTTTTGATTGTTTTAAATTTTAGTCATCATGATTCTATTTAACAGTTACCACTTTACTAGAGGTTTTTTACCCATTGAAAATTTAATAAAAACCGAAAATGTCTTCCATAATTATGTAGATAGACAATGGAAGATAATTGCAATAATAACGCACCTCAGCCATCTCTTTTTGTCCACACAGTATAGCACCCGTTGACAATGGGCTAGATATTTCTTTTGCTCTTTTAAATGCGGCCTGCATAGGTAATCATGTGTATAAACAATCTTAACCTTTTGAAGGTAGTCGTGTGAAAATCTAATCCTATACTCCCCATACTTTACCTGTACAAAGCCACTTTCTCCGGTCCATGTATTATCTGGTTGAGACAATACAGGCACAATCTTGACACCGGAAGATTCCCAGGCTTTAAATCTATCCTATAATACAAGAGAAAATTGTTAGGTAAAACTCTAATACAGAATCACAGATTACAAGGCTTCCTATCGATAAACCATAAACAAATCAACTAACCTGATAAGCCATTCTCTGAAGGTTTCTGGCCCCATAATATACTCTCACATCAGACCTCTTGTTAGCACCAAATCCTGACTCGATAAGTGACCGAATTGGACTGCACACAAAAAAAGTAAATGAATAACTAATCCTGGGTCTGACTCAATAAGGGGAATATTTGGATTAATAGCATATATTGCATTATAATTATAGTACGTATTGGAAAATCCTCACGTACAGAGTGATTTACAACTACAGTTAAAGGCCATAGATAGTTGTTGGAACAGAATCTCTATCTTTCAGAGTGTTTTTTACGGTTCAAAATCATACTTTTGGTCCGAAACAACAGCTCATGCGTGAAAATAAAGCCATCATTATATCATTATAAGGAAGAAATTCATAGAAAAAGATAAAATAGGTTAGTATAATTAGAAAAGGGAACAAAGAAAAGAAAATACAAAACCAAGTGATCACTCTACAAATCTACAGAGTAAAATACCCCTTCTACAGCCACGGGCAGAACTGTTTTCCGTATCTAGCATGGCCAAAATATCTAAATTCTAAATGTAATCAAAAGAAAGTACTCCAAATTTAGAGGGAACACAAACAGTTGAAATTCAAACCGCAGAGTAATGAAATTCTTTACCGGTTAAAATTGAGTTAAGTGAGAACCAACAACAACAATTAAGCCTTATCCCACTAAGTGATATCGGCTACATTGATCAACTTTTGCCATAATGTTCTATCCAAGACCATGCTTCTACCAAATCGTTAATCTCGAGATCTTTCTTAATTCTATCCAAATCGTTAATTTCGAGATCTTTCTTAATTCTATCCAAATCGTTAATCTCGAGATATTACTTAATAGGTCTTCCAAATCGTTAATCTCGAGAGCTTTTCTAGGTCTTTCTTTACGTCTAACTGTTTGACTCATCTCCATCCGATCTACTCTCCTTACCACAAAATCTATAAGTCTTCTACCTACATGCCCAAATCACCTAAGGTTATTTTCAACTATAGGTGCTACCCCAACACTCTCTAATATCGCCATTTATAATTTATCCTATCTAATCCTACGACACATCCAATGCAACATCCTCATCTCTGCTACGACTAGTGGGAACCATGCAAGTGAAAAAACTTTATACTTATTTCCTTAGGTTATTAATATAGATCTCTAACTTTGGGACTCCCCTTGACAGTCTAAGTTAGATTATCCACCAACGAAATTGACACTCTCACGACGAAAAGGAAACGCCAATTATAACTAGCTTATGAGAATTAATGTAGGTAAGACAAACAGCTCCAAAGAGTAGCATTAACACCTAAACATTATGCAGCAATGCTGACCCATTTGGAACTTAATCTTAATATCTACAACGCAAAATCAGCACCAATCAGTATTAAGAACCATAGTGCTGATGAATCATTTATGTGGCACCAAATGTCAAGAGGAGCATTTGAAATTGTCAATTCCAATTCAAATTTACAAATGAATAGATAATAGACAAATTTTAATAAAACAAGAGTTTTAACATTCAACTCAGATTGGGGGAAAGAGAAAGACCGACCTAATTCCGGATCCAGTGGCGAAGACAAGAACGGTTCCAAATTTCTCGGGCGGGTCAATCCGGCTAATATCAAACCCATTCCCCATAGCCTGAGTGATTTCAACCACATCCCCTTTCTTCAACGCACACAACGCTTCTGCAGTGGACCCCGCCACACTCTTCACCAAAAACTCAAACACTCCACGCGAAATCGCGAGCTTCGGCGCCGACGCAATCGCCAGAAACGACGGTTTCGGCGAGTTCGCAACTTTAAGCTGAAGATACTGCCCAGCGCGTGTGTGCGACGTGGCAAGATCCGGCGCGTCGGACACGTCGATGGTCACGTGGAATAGCGACTCAGCGGCTGGTTCAATCTGGGAGAGAGGTGCTGGGGTCCAGACTGTGGTGTCCTGACGTACGGCGGCGGATATAGTTGCGAATCGGCGACGGAGACGGTGGTTGGGGAGGTTTAGATTGAGGCGGCGTAGGATGGACATGGGAAAAGGGGAGGGGCTAAAGTGCGCATGGGAGTGGAGGGTAATAGGGTGAAGCTGTGTGAATGAAAGGACTGACATGTCTTTTTTTAAATTATTTGTGTGTAAGGAGTTTGGTAAGTGGCGGCAGGCGTGGCGGCGTTTGATAAAATGCGCTTTGTGTGCGTATTATAGATTGAGGCTTATGAGGGTTCCATGTGTCAACCTTTTAATGGTGCGATGTAATTGGAGTGGAAAGATGATGATGCCTGAAAAATGAGAGGCACATAGTGAACAAGTTAAGAAGGCAAAATAATGAAATAAAGCATTTTCTTTCTTTGAAATGAACTCTTAATTAACTCTTTTTTCTTCCATTTCTTCTATGGACTAGAAATGATTTTATGATAGTTAAATAAACTTTTTTGTTCAAAAATTTATCTCTTCTTTTCGTTGCACATCGAAATTGTCGGTTATAAAATTACACCCAATCATCTTCAATTCCTTTTCGCTTCTCACCATTCCACTTCTTATTTTTCACAAAACATGGCGGTTACAAAATCCTTCAAAACCCTTTTGCATAATATTTATTATTTCTTATAATTTCTCGACTTTCTTCATTAATTTCTTTCTTCATCAACTTCTCAACTTTCTTAACTTTCTTCATCGTCTTCACTTTCTTAACTTTCTTCATCGTCTTCTTCTTACACTGTCATCTCTCTTGCAAACAAAAATAAAAGCATGGATAAAATTCAAATCAAGAAGGAAAAACAGATTACGAACCAGAATAAGGGATACAACATTACCATCAGAAATATGAGATACAACGAAGGATCTGCTGTTTCCGGCGGGATCTGGTGTTTCCGTCGGTTTTACAGTGGCGTGCGATTTTGCGGTGGTAGATCTGTTCTTCAATTTCTATCAATGGGGTAAAACCCTAATGTGATGACTTATTTTTCTTTGTATGTTCTTCTGCACGAGTTCCTATCAGATTGTGGTAATTTAACATACATGATTGCTTATCATTTTCTTTAGAAACACTGTTTTCTTTTACATACTAATCTTTTCGGTTTCATTATCACTGATAACATGTCTTAGTTTTACAAAATAAAAACATCGATTCAACTAAAATACCATTAAGTACTAAACTGGTATTGTATAAAACTACCATCATGAATCAATTCATCGTAATATTCTTTGTAGTATATATTGGATCTCTTGCATGTCTAACATTATGTGAAACTTTTGTTGTTAATGTATATTTGTTTAGATTCTTAATCATGATGTTTGTTGTGTTTTTCTACTAAAGGATCATGTTATCTATCTAAATCAAGAAAGTAGTTCTTAGCTTTCATTTTACTGGCTGGGAAAATCTCACGAAAATTCATTTATCTGTTTGCTGGCTTACCATTTTACACATGTCATTGATTTTAAGTAACAACAAATTCATATCCTAACAGGTTTTGGATTGGAAGAAATTCACGAAGAATTATGAGAGACAAAGGTAATGTCTTCTTAATATTGGACAATTTTCATCTGAGTAATCCTTGTACGTGGTAGTTTATTTTGGCCTAGACTGTAGAAAAGTATTCTGATGAACTGCAGTGATGAGTGAACATGATTATGGAACTCTACTCATAGTTGATGTAGGGATGCACCCTACTCAAGAAATCCTTCAAATTATGGAACTCTTTACGCCAAATTTTCTTGGAACACACAGTCTACTTTGAGGCCTTTCTCAAAGATCCAACAATTCTTATTTTCGTTTGAGCCTCCAACAACTACTTCCACCTTGGTGAAATGATAAACATACTCACATGATTTCCTTCTTATCCTCTGGGACTCTTATAAGCACGACCATGGTGGTTGGCTACCTTTTTCTAGTATAGAAATAGGCAGACAAAGAATCTATGCTTTTGTTCGAAAGGGACTTGTATCATGTTAGGTTTATTTCAGTTAGGGTCAATGCAAATAGCTTGCACTTCACGTCTCCTCCAACATGAAAGTAATCCATCCTATTATCTACATATTCGACATGTTCATATGGATTTCCTATCATATTATAATGCTGGAGCTTTGAAGGCTTCTCTAGTTACTTTGAAATTTTGTTGTCTAAGATGCAATCAGTCAAGGGATTCTTCTTCTATAGATGAACTGAAGCATCTTCTTCATACCATTTCCTCTTTATATGATGTCAAACTTAATAAGGAGTATGTCTACTCTTCATTCCTACAAGATTGGGGGAACATTATCATTGACTTGGAGACTTCTGAACCTCTTATGGATCCCTTATCGCCTTAGTAATGGAGGTTATGTGCGAAGCTGCTTCTTAAAAAAATTTATTTCTCGGATTGGAGTTGTGTAAACTTTCTTCAATCCTAGCGAGACTTTTTACAAAGGCCTGAGAGTTGTGCTACTGAACCTTTTGGTAAACATTGTTCAATAATTCATTGGCTCCTTGCAAGTCAAGGTTAGCTTGCAAAAGTTGAAAGTCTGGAGCATTTGTCATATGAACATTATAGACGGTAGCATGGGTCTGAATAAAAGTTTTTCTATGTGGAATTGTGGTGCATATATGAGGAATGAAGGAGGTTGAGATGCTTCCTGGTATGCCCTAAGTTGAACATAATTTTTAGGCGGAGGAACAAAAGGGGGAATTATTAAGACTTGATCGTTTGTTCCCTGAAGAAGAGGCAGAGGATTCTTGGCATCTTCAACGGCTGCAACGACTTGCCGTTGGACGGAAAAGGGAGTGGCTTTGGAAGATGCCATCATTGACAGACCATATGGAGGAATGTTTGAGTATGATCTTTATGGAGTTTATCAAGAAATTGATAATATTGCTTTGATTGAAGGATATATGGATTTCTATTGGAGGAAATTTTATTGAATTGAGAAAAATTAAATTGTGGAAAATAGAAGGAATCATAAGTCAATTCCTATAGGCGACGTCAATGTTCCACTCAAGAATTAGATTTGATCGGAGAGGATAAATTTAGTCTGTCACGATGGTTCAGTACTTCTGATATGGTGGAGAGGAGACTGACTTGCAATGTTAGCACTCCAACGTTAAAGTTAGTAAGAGAGTGAAAAGTGAAGTTTGAATGAGAAAAAAATTGAATACTCGTGAAGTGACGTGTGTTTCTCTTTATATAGAGAGAATGATTTGTAAGTGCACACGTGTGGAACGACGTGGAATGTGACCAACCATTATATTATTTCTAGGAGATTAGCATGAAATTCTCGTGAGGGAAACTTTGTGACATACGAAAAAGAGTCTACCTATTTCTCATGGAGTAATCTTTTGCTTCATAACTAGATCTTCATCTTCTAGACCTTGTAGGCCACTTAGAACAATAATAATTCATAGTATTTGTGATACGATGGGAAGTACTGACTATTTTTGGAATGCTGGTTTGCATTTTGTGTTTGTTTTTGCAAAATATCGCGGTAAGCAAGAGTCGCCACCGACTGTTATTTTATCCAACAAGGAAAGGAAAAAAGCACAGAAAAATTCATTTTTCGAGATTTTCTAGGTACGGGGGGTAGATTATAGAAAGGGAAGGTATTAGCACCCTTTCTATTTGTGGTTATCCACGGGCTCTTAGGTGCTTGCTCAATTGTTTTCAAAATTGTTTTCTTTGTGCTTGTGGGTTTAAATAAGTTTTTGTTTGAAAACTTCGATTTAACTTTTGCTTCTGTCCTCAAGAGTGTAATGAAGTGTTTTGAAAACTTTGTTTGAAAAGTGCAAGTGTGAAGAGTTTTGTTTTGAAAGAGCAAGTATATAAGAATCATCTACCTACTCGAAAAAGGAATCGTTCTATGCTAATTTCCTTTAGACAATGTTATCCTACTATTAATGAGTAGGTAGCACCGTCGTTGGAGTTTGAGGGTCAATTCGAATGAGGGACATACAGTCACTAAAGCAATGCTAGGACGCCTTAGAGGTAACCCTAATGTCTTAGATCATTTGTTTGAGGCAACAATATTCGAGGCAACCATTTCGAGGCGACTATGATCTTTTAGACAAGAGGGCGACCTCTAAAATGACATATACTCAATGACCGTGTACGAAGGCAACCAAGTGGGGTGTACCCTAGGAGTGCGCATGTGCGAGTGTGCTGTTTTCAGTTTATTTTTATCTTTGCACATGTTTAGGGTGATCTAAATTGATTTTAGATAAACATTCAGTCTTGTCATGCAAACCCTATTATCAAACATCTAGCAGTTATAATTTGCGGAATCAAAATGCGGAATTTAAATTACAAGGCGTCGGATATTTACATCGCCAAAGACAAACCCTTTGAAAAATAAAATAAAGCGATAAAAATAATTATATGTTCTATTTAACTATTACAGTTCGTAAGCAGATACATAATTGGATAAAAATAAGTAACGCGCGTGGGAAATTGAATCGAATGCGAATTTAGGGTTTTGACCCTTTTGAAAAGAAAATGTTTTTGGTTTTCGTTTTTATTTTATTTTAAGAAAGAAATTAATCCTAAGCTAAATAACTAAATTAAATTACATAAATTAATTAAATGAAAAATTAATTATTTTTGGAGTTTTTTGATTATTTAAGAAAGAAATTTAAAAATAATTAAATTAGTGGTTAATACCTAATTAAATCTAATTAATTATTTATTTGCAAAAAAATGAATTAAAGTTTTCTAATTAAAAACCTAATTAATTAATAAGTTTATTAAGAAAAATAAAAGTTTAAAATTTGATTGAATAAAAAAAAATATTTTTGTGATTTTATTTGATAAAAAAAGAATTTTGTTATTGGTTAGAAAATTAATTAAATAAAATAAAACAATTAAATTAATTAAAGCAAAATAAATAAAAGAGAGAGGAGTTGGGCCTGATTAGGAGGTGCAAGGAGCAATTTGTAGGCCCATTAGAAGCTGGCCCTTTTGACTTTTCCTGATCCAGTAGGCGCGCATTGACCTGGTTCTTGGTAGACCTCCAATCATTGACCACCAGATCTGGCCATTGGCCATCTGGCGCTTGGATGGGTGAGGGCATATGGTGGGTTGTAAGCTAGCGTATGCACTGGAATACCTGAAAACAAAAATCATTGAGAAAGTGGGGGACTTGGGATT